ACTTCTATGTGTATAAGTTAGACAAACGTACGAAAGGATGATCAGCGAATTGTATGTAGTGCATACCTGCCATTACAATGGTCTGCTGTTTTCAAATTCTTAGGCGTACTTCATGTCTTCTCAAAAGTTCTAATAGATTATGAGGGTGATAGATTAATCATTTATTCACAGCTGACAGATAGTTTCACAAGAACTATTAACTTTTCTCGAAACCCTTTCAGAGAAAATCCATGAGTCCTGGTAGAAAGGCGAACAGTTGAAAAAAATTAACATATACTTTTCATAATCTCATTCGGTTCTACATAAGAAACTGCAGTTATGAAAACTCTTTTGGAGCTTCAGATCTTATCTCGATAGAGTTATAAGACTTTTAAAGTAAGATTGTTCGATGACTCGTAACCCTGATCGACCATAAGTAACAAACTCTTATATGCCACAATCGATAGAAATGCATACTATTCTTATAAAATTCTAATAATTCGCAATATAAGAATCTCATCCGAACCTTCGGTTCAAAACGTTGCCATCATCTTCCAGGCAACAAAAAAAAGTTTTTTCTTTTTTTTGAGCTATAAGAATCGTATAAATTTTTCAACTGAGTTATACGCATTTAACTTGTTTAAAGGCAATAGTTTAAGAATAAATATTACTAATATTTGTTCTTGAGTTATGCACTTTCCATACCTGTGAATGAATACTATACATCTCGGAAAACAAATAAAATGCAATTTACTCAAGTAATAGCACCAACAACTCCAACAATTCAACAGAGATTCAATAAGAAATGACATCTTCGAGATAATCTCAAATGATCAAGACGTGCAAGAGCAAATTCAGTCTTTACGAGAGAATTCTAAACCAGAAGATATTGTGAATATAGTGCAAGGTGTTGTTATTAAACGAATTGAACAACGTTTAACTGTTTTAAAATAAAAAACTAATTCAATTGAACAACAGCTTGAACGCATTCAGTTTAATGCAAATACTCGTGAAAGAATTTCAGGACAAAAGAATATCCGTTTCATTGGAATGAAAGGACAAGCTGATATTGTAAAATCAATCACTGAAGGAGCTGCCAAGATTGGAATTGAATTGAAAAATGAATTTATAGAATATTTGTCATCCTCTAGGACAGAAAAGAAAGAACAACAATCTCCACAACCAGTTATAGCTGCATTTCTTTCTCGATTTAAACTAAAATCTTTACTATTAAAACGAAAAAAAAAAGTATTCAAACAAGCAACTGGTATTTCGATCTTTGAAGATGTAACAAGGTATGATAAATGGTTATTAGACCAAATGCGTGACGGTCTAGAAGATGAAGATCGAAAATATGTATTTACCAAAGGAGGAAGAGTTTGTTATAAAGCAGAAGATCAAGGCATCGTATTTATTAATTCATATGATGATATTCAAAGATATCTATACGGATAATTGAATTTGTTCTGTCTTGAAAGCTCTCAAAGGTATTGATTCTGAACCTTCTTGACTGTCTGGGTCATATTGACCGTACATTTCATTTTCTCATTTTTGATCTGTGCTTCTTGCAGTTGAGATGATATAGATATTTTGACAGTTCTGTTTCTTTTTTGGTCAAAGACTATTACGTAGATATGTGTAGAGTCATATGACTCCAAATCTATTTTATTCCTTCCTTTCCCGACCGGGTATGTTGCGTTCTAGGACTGTAGTGTATAAAATAATTGATAATGGTTAAAACGTTCTACATTAGAAAGCAGTGGCATAGCGAAATGATTCTGCTGTTGAATGTTAATAGATTAATGGCATCGTTTAACAATAGCAAAAATGCGACTTCTACACCACATCGCATTACGGTCAAAAAATTTGAAATTTTAGCGAGTTTAGTAGAGCTAGAAAAACCTGCGGTAGTAGTAATCACTGAGACTTGGTTAGATGATACTGTTCTTGACACATTGTTACGAATGGTGTCCTACGAACACTTCTGTTCTCGAAGTAAACAGCACTATGAGTTTGCTAACGACGTACAGCTTTTTCAAATTGCTGAGAAACCTACTCGTCCGAAATCATCTACTGGTTTAGATCTAATTTTTCTTGATAATTTGAATTTAGTTGAGAAAATAGAAATTTTGTCTGAATTATGCTGTACATGCGATCATAATGTAGTTAAATTCAGTATTAATATAGCTCAACTGCCTGTCACGCAATATAGTAGAAAGATCTATGATTATAGAAGAGCAAATTGGGATGTTTTTCGTGACAAATTAGTAGAATTGGATTGGAGTGAGCTGGTTGAGGATGGAGGATTCGATAATAGTGCTCTGCTAGTTGAAAAAATGATCTTATGGATAGCTGACTTTGTGGTACCATATAAAATTATTGTGGTTAAGTCTAATGATCGGTTTAATGAGAATTTACGAGAGCTAATAAAGAAAAAACATGAGCTAGATTTAAGGCGACAAGTTCGGCGGCTAATTCAAGAAGACCTTCACGTGATTTTGAGAAAGAGTGTAAAGCCGCAAAAATAGAATATTATGGGAAGTTATCAGCTGAGATGAATTCGTCATCGAAACCTTGGTAGCGTCAAGTTAAAAACACATTAAATAAAATCAACAATATTTCCATTCCATCTCTTTTTGACCGCTCTTCAAAAGAACTAATGATAGATTCGGAAAAAAAGGCTGAGCTTTTAATCCATCATTTTGCGATGGTTTGCTTAATGCCACTAAACGAGGTTAATGATGTGCCGTTAGTTGTTCCAGCATCTAGCAAATTCTCAATGACGAAATTTCATATTTTTGAGAATGAAGTTTTTGAATTACTGTGTAGTATTGATTGCAATAGAGCTAGTGCGCCTGCTCTGTCAGCGAGAATAGTTAGAGAAGCTGCACCTGTCATAACTCCGAGCATAACCTATTTATTTAATCAATCTCTAGGACAGGAACAGTCTCCTAAAGCTTGGAAACTTGGCTATATTACATCGGTTTTTAAGTCAGGCGATCCTCATGAAGTGAATAATTATCGTCCTCTAACCTTACTGCCTGTTTTGTCAAAAAATACTTGAGCGTTTGATTTATCGGAAAGTGTATGGATATTTAACAAATTACAACCTTCTAAGTACGAACCAGTCAGGATTTAGGCATGATGATTCTACTATTAATCAATTGATCGCCATAGTTCATGAGGTCTTATTAGCTTTAGATAATAGTGAACGAGTCTTAAGTGTTTTTCTGAATTTTCGTAAGGTATTTGACACCGTTTGGCATAAGGGTTTACTAGTAAAGCTAAAAGCAAAAGGATTACCACCGTCCTTAGTGAATTAGTTTGAAAGCTATCTCTCAAATAGAGAAATTATGACCACGGCGGACGGTATTACATCGTCAGCAAGAATCGTTGATAGAGGAGTGCCCCAAGGCTCGGCCTTGGGACCGTTACGGTTTTTCATTTTTATTGATGATCTTGGTGATAATGTTAGTGCAACAATGCGATTGTTTGCTGACGATGCCTCACTCTACCGTGTTACAGAGAAAAACAATATTAGAAAAGTTATAGACCAAGTAAATAAAGATTTACTCTTAATTTACGAATGGTCTATAACTTGGAAATTGTATTTAAATATTGATAAATGTAAAGCTATGATTTTTTCTACTCGTGAACGCGA